GAGCCATAATTTATTTTCTACTTTTTAGTCCACAAGAAAAAGGATTAAGATTTGATTAAGTATGACTTGACGTACATATCGATGATACGCAGCGTCAGCGCCTGCTCGTCTATAACGTCAGCGCCCGCTCGTCATACTATATATATACTATAATATACTTTACTCAATTAAGCTAATTTAGGTCTCTAATTGCTAGTTTTTATGATTGTAATTTTATGATTTTTTATGATTTTATGATTTTTTTATGATTGCTAATTTTCGTTGTCAATGTTAACAAAAAACAAACAAACAAACAAACGCGAAGCTGAGTAAAGAAAAACGTGTTAATAAAAAATGTGTTAATAATAATATCACGAAACAATAAATGACTCGAAGCAATGAATGACTCGCTGAGAACCAAGAATACGAATTGCAAGTGAAGTAAGGACGCTGAAATTGGGCTATTGCACTGCGAGTTTGGCTGGCCGTAGCGTCCTTGGTAGCCACAAATATTGTTGGTCTGGTAATGTTTATACGCTGGTAGTGCGCCTTCCAATGGGACAAGCATACTACTGTACCACCGGTTAAATTTTTACCGAGTGAGGAACAATTCTAAATGAGTTGACTGCACAAAATTAGATCGAATTTTTTTCTTCAATTCTTATGAGAATTATTAAAACTCCTGCCTTAGCCAGTTGCTGGGATGATCCCTGGGATCCCAGATTCTGGGAGAATCCCTGGGATCCCCCAGCTCCTCGCCGAAGCGAGGCACCGCCCCCCAAGAGGGGGAAGAGATTCACCGCATTCTTGCGGCGACTCTTCTGTGGCTGTTGCAGGCCACGCGGCGAGAGCGACGGTGGCCGGTGAATGGTAGCACCCAATTCTTGAGGAGTTGGGGCGCTGCCTTCAACTGGCTATTTCAAGAGACAGCTAGACGTGTTCCTGAGCACAATCCCAGATCGACCTCCCCTGCAACACTACCAGCGGCGAGAAGCAAGCAACAGCATCGTGCAGCAGGTGGCCCAAATGAGGGCGGATGAAAGATAATCAGAGGCGGCGATCCATCGTGGCCTGGGACTGCTGTGTCCCAAACAAATACTAAGGATACTAAGGATACTAAGCGAGGATTGACACGGGGCTACGGCTGTGGTATTGAATAGATAACAAAGATCTTGGCGCCTTCCATACGCCCGAGCTACTATAGTTTTGGCCACAGAGTCTTTAATTGCAACTTTTTTTATGAAGTGTAAACTCCTTTGTTCAAGGAGACAGTAACTCTGCTATAGAACTACAAGTAAGCATGATACTATCTAAACCATTGACTACCATACCAACAGTTATATTTGGAACTGCCAAATTCATGTTTAATTTGTGGGGCAGAACGGATTCCTCTTAATCGTTTCAATTCTGGAGTTGAAGTCAAAGTGATTAAAAACCCTTTATTTCCTTACCGACAAGAGTTATACAAATAAAATACTTAAAAAAAACTTTTTAAAAAACCACGTTTTTCTTGTGGACTAAAAAGTAGAAAATAAATTATGACTCGCCCCAAAAAAAACGCGGGTCGGGCAGATTTATGATTAAAGCAAAAAGCACACAACACACGAACTTTGGAAATTTGATGGTGAACGNTATAAGAGACAGACATTTGGCCTTTGTTGGGTCATTTACGGAGCATTCAACAAGACATCATAATTGTCATTCCGTCAATCTGGTATGACTCAGAGCAGCGCTCCCAAATTTTATGAGCGACTACCACTTTGAAATTCCTAACAGTCACAGAACCTCTCGTTACTATTGTTCTCATTTTTGTCAGAGTTGTCATTTTTAGCGCATTTTCTCATTTATGGAAAAAGCGCTATTGAGCTCGCCATGTCTGTCCGTCCGTCCGTGACTTCTGGTGTGAGAGAGCACAAGAAAATGCGCTCTCTGTCACTCACTGCAGTGAGTACAAATCTAATTTTTAGCGCATTCTCTCATTTATGTAAAAAATGCCCTATTGTGCGCGTCATGTCCGTCCGTCTGTCCGTCCGTCTGTCTGTCCGTCTGTCCGTCTGTCTGTCCGTCCGTTCGTCCGTGACTTCACGTTTTCGTCGATTTTGAGAAAATGAGCTCTCTATCACTCACTACAGTGAGTACTGAGTTAAATTTTTTGTCATTGGCAGGAGTAGGCAAAATTCAAAAATACTGGCGAGGACTGAGCGGCAGATGGCAGGGTCGTTGGTGGATCTATATAGAGGCTTGCCGTCACATATAGCCACCACAACGTGGCCACGTCCAGCCACTCCTCTTGAGTAATGCGACTCAAGTAAGAGTGAACTGATCGAGTCTCACGTTCAATTTCAGTTTTGCGTAATACGTTGCCAATTAGAAAAGGGCACGATCGAAGGTTCGCAGAACCTTGGCTAGAGTCTCGCTTGACAACTTCAAGCCCCTAATTAAGTGAGTTCTAGCCCGGCTAATTTACAGGGCGTTGTGGAAGAACACTACAACAAAAAATAACACGTTTGTGAATTGATACTTCATTAGAGAATCCGGTAAAACATGATTGAATTCACTAGTTCTCGTCAGTGAACAGGTTCATTGCTAAATTCATTGATCTTTGTTAAGAATTTTTTTGACAGATGGCATAGTTTGCTTTTTAGCTACTTAAACACAATACGGGGTAGATAAATACTTAAATACTTAAACACAATACGTATAGTGTTGGATTCGGGAGCAGTCGAGCCATTTATGCTTTTTAATTATCTAGGAGTGAATAACTGGCTCATGAATTTTGCTCCGGGTTTCATAAATGCCCAGTTAAAATAAATGAGCGTACCCCATTGAAAACGACTTAATTGTTCTCAGTTTTAAGTGCTCGTGCTATATTGGATAGTATTTGAATACACTGCAATGTTTTAGTTAACAATCAAATGCCGGATCTTAATACAGAGAATTTTCGTGTTTCATTAAATGCAGCTCAGTTCATGCAAACCCATTGTTTGTACAGCACAGCCCCTGCGTGTTCCAACATTCATGCAACTCTGCCAATGGCCTTCATTTAACCCTGTAAAATTAGTTTCTTTCATACCGTTACCAAGGAGAGACTGCAATATTGTTCACATCCAGCTGAGCAACTTGAAATTCTTCAAGCGGCGGATCATTGCTACGCTAATGCTTTTTGAGAACAGGAAATAATTCTTCATCTGCAGAGCTAAGCGGCTATATTTTTATACATTTTATTCGTGACTTTTGAATGACTCAATGTAGTGAGAGAAGCAGCTACCAAAAAAACATTTTACTGGAATACGACGTTTAAAATATTCAATATTCATTCTTAAGTAGGTGAAGAGTTTTACAACACTTGAAATTTGGAAATGACATTAAGTACATTAATCTAATATCAGCTTTTGATCAGGTGCCAGGCTTTAAGCACGCACATACTTGAACTTGAAATAGTACTACAGAATGTACAGGGCTGACTCAATTCTCAATCAATATGGAGAATGTTGCTTCTGGATATATTTTTATTTAATGAACTCGATGTTGTTGGGGTCATCGACACACCAACTCGGCCTACATGATCGTATAGGGTCATTTTCACTGATAGTCTTTAATTAAAATGACTTTATTGCACAATCCGTTTCAGCATATACAATCCACTGTAATATACACATTCACGTGCTGGTCAACTGACGAGAAGATGCCTAATTAAGTCTCGAGTTTTAGTCTCTGGTTTGAGGCTTTCCTAAAAGAGTAAAATGAACAATAATTAAACTTCTAACTGGCAAATACAGTAATGCATATACAAATCAAATAATGGAACACACATATAGTATATACATCGATTCAAATCATTTTCACATATCGCAATTCAATAATACACATCAGGACCTAACACACATACGTACCTCCGCTTCGGGCTTCACACCGCACAATAATCTAGCAGCAACTTACACCTTCCGCATTCCGACTTCCGTAAAGTCTAAACTAAAATGGCATTGAGCAACTTCACAATAATTGACGAATCCCAAGTAAAATAACACGTAAGATAATAAAATACAAGCTTATGCCTCAACAATGTGTCTGGACTCAAACCGTCAATGGACGGAAAGCCACTAATACCTGCGCTCCTGGATTGCACATTCAAGTGATGATGGCGAGTGCTAAACGTCCTTTTTTTAAGTTCTGGAAATCATTGTAAATTTGAATGTTTCTTTCTTTATTTTACGTAATAATTTGTACCGTGTAGCTCGTTTCAACATAGAGGAGCCATTCGAAAAACGGGAAAATATCTTGGTGTTAGTGGAAACAATTGTCTTCCCTTACAGTCTAAATAATTTGTTATTAATAAAAAATTGACACAATAAACTCAAATGAGACTGATTGATTGAAACATTTATTTTTTAGGACCAACACCACGATTGTCACTTCGACTGTGCATTTTATGTTCACGCAAATTCAGAAGGTCTCCAAGGTTCATTACGTAGAACGACGTAACAGAAATATCGTGTGTAGATTGCCATCATCGCCTGAAGCTTTTTGCTTATTTCTGTTTCATGGAAACTTGCCATTGCATATGGTCTCGCCATTATCTTCCTCGGACTCCTCATTAGTGCCGTCGGTCTAGCCATCGTTTTCTTTTGATTTTTCTTCGTGGTCTTCTATCTTGCCATTATTACCCTCGGTACCGTCATCATCGTGAACATAGCCACTATCATGGCACACAGCATTGCTTCTCCATTGAGGTCTCCTCTACTTAGTCATGACGGCTTTCTTTAGTTTAGTTTCTTTATCTTTAGTTTCAGTTTCTCGTGATGATAAGTCACATACCAGACCTCTGGCATGAATTTCGGCTGCATCGTAGTCAAGAAATTTTCACTCTGTAACTTTTCGAAATGAATAAAGCCTATTTTCTCGCAATATTTGAATACTCGCAGCCCCTGTGGGCCATGGAAAACATCGAAAATCGAAACGTCTANAGAGGCGGGGAAGTCCTGTGAGGATGCGGTGGGTTCAGAATCTTCCCCCCAGCGGCGGGCGGCGGAGGCGAGGGAGTCGAGCACATTCGTGAGGGAGTCCACGGACCTGGGGGTGCAGGGAAGCTTATAGCGTGACGTGGGGAATCGATTTGGGCAGTTCATACCTCTCGACCCTAGGGAAGTATTCCTACAGAAGCAGTAGTTACATTTTTGACCCAAGATTTGAGTGTAAAATAGACGTTGTTACAGTGAGGTGGAGAATGGGTTTGGGTTGATCATAGCTCGTTACCTTGGGTAATTATTCCCTTCAAAGCTGTAGTTACATTATTGACCCAAGATTTTAGTGTAGAAGCATACACAAGTTGTCAAATTTTTTAACAGGAGTCAATATTCATCACTTTATGTTTAGAGGCAGCTACATAGTGTAAACGTCCGTGGAATAGGAGAGCCGGGCAAGTCATTGTAGTCCGGAGACGTGAAGGAGGTGCGTGTCGTGTGGTTAGCGTATAGGTTATTGCAGTGTTAATTATCATTCGTAAATATTGATGGGAATATATCTAATTAGTGTTATATGCTATACTATAAGATGTAGGATATTTCCTCTTTGATCAATAGTGGGGGGTGTATTTAATATTTATGTATATTTTCATTCTTTAATTAGTTTATCGTTATACTTTAAGGAAATCCTCGAACTCATACGCGAAACTCAAACTTGTAACTTGGATTGGAATAATTATACGACGAGCATCAAGAAACTTGTTAGAATTCTAAACCTTTGGGGAAAGTTGAAGGGCGACTACGGGTCATAGATAACTATGAACAAAGTGCTTGGGCCTAGCTGGATATTAGGAGAGTACTCACAGCACAGTGTTGCCAATTAGTGTTATCATTTAGTGTTGCCACTCACCTTCCCCGGGCGTAAGGGTCGTAAAACTCGCCGATGAAGTTGGAACTTCTATCCTCCCAAGCTTCGGCCGCCGTGAGCGCAAGACTTCGGCTGTAGGGAATGTACTTCTTCGCAGTACCTTTGTAGACCGCGTACAAGTACCCCAGCAGGTCTATGACCAGCACCGCCACCAGAATGCCAGCCCCCACCAGACCAACGGTCTTCAGGTTGAAGCTTTTGAGGGCAGCGATGGGGTCGGCGCCGAACCGTCGGATGCCGTCGTTGACGGTCGTGAAAAGCTCGCCTGTCGTTGACGGGAAACCATCGAGGAGCGGCATCCTGGCAACACAAGAGGGACTATTAATACCTCATTAAGAATGATGAACGTGATGGTGAGTACAGATGTTGTCAAAACGATCGAAGAAAAGAAATTATTTTCCCATTTCTTAATTTGGAAAACGTATATTATTGTATCGGGCAAAAGTTAAATGTGCATTGCTAGTCTTGAAATGACATTGAGTTTAACTTTAGTTCGTATATTTACCAGTTTAAGACGAAATATACGTTTATTGTATGCCAGGCATGAGAACAAGACTGTCTTTTATGTTGTTCCTCTATTAATACTTTTTTCTAGGTTTGCTAAATTCGTTCACGTCTCATTATAAAGAAAATACTAGACTGTGTCGGCATTTACTTATATGAATCGAATTATAAAATGGGGAGGCTGTTCCACATGTCGGTGATTCGAAGCGAGAAGAAATGTTGTCGCGTGGAGAAGTTGCAGCGCAGTTTTTTTAGTTTATAGCCGTGGCCCCTGGTGTTGGTTCTTGTTTCGAATGCTAGTAATCCTTCTGGGACCTTGTATAAACCATGAGTATACTTGGATACTTCAATGAGGTCCCCACGCACACGTCGATAACTGTCGATAACGATAACCATAAAGCTTGTACACAAGCCTCCTCGTAGTGCGGCTCACACGAGCTCTCACTTTCTAACCATCAGCCGCAGCAGCAGGCAACCCCCGCCTCTGCTTTTCGATGACGTCGCTCGACCTTCAGCCCTGGATCCTGCTTCGGTTTCCTGACGCTCCTGCGCTCTCGGGAAATCCGCGTACTGGTCAGCCTCTGCGATCGGGTGAACGCATTTCAATCAAACAATCATATTTTAGACATTGCAGTGAAATGTTTTTTTTTTTTCGTAACAATGATCGATATAATATTTTTTTCATTTTAACCATTTTCTACTGATTAGAGTTATATTTTATTTGATCTTATACCCTATTCTCAACTTTTTACGTTCCCGTGCATGGTCACTCTGATGCACCGCCTTCGTCATCCACCTTCCCTAATCCGTCGAGAAGCAGGTCACCCGCCAATTTAAGGGGCCTGGGGGTAACGCTGAACCTGACCACGTGCATATGTCTTGAATTGAGCCAGCTGATGCTAATTGTAGGAACTTGTTACTAGCTGAGGGTAATATCGAGCCGGAATCGTGCTTAAAAACGCAACCAGTCATCTCTTGAATATCGTGAAGGAGAACTGCCCTCATCTCACCTCTTTCTGCAAAGCGTTGAACAACCTTAGTCCTTTCTTGGACAGTAATTCCTCCCGACGAGTATGAGCTCTGGCCGCAGCTCAGTTGGTCAATGAAAGTTGCAATATTATTTTAAATATTTCCATTAAATTTTCACCGTATCGAATTCATTAATCACGAAATGTGGAGGCCCTGTCCGCCGGCAGTTAATTGCGAGCGTTGCCAAGAGTGTGAGCGTTGCCTGGATCGCAGGTTGGGTAAGTTCATTCAGAGGTACGCATGAGTCAGTTCACCATCACAAGTTGGGTGAGCTCATTCAGCTTCAGTAGGAGTAGGTGAACAGGTTGCGAGTGTCAAGGTCGAACACCGCACTCTTCCGGGAGCCAAGAAAGTGAAAGCAAATCCGGTTGCTCGGCGCGCCGGGGGCGCGGCCCCTCCCCCCTCACCACCCGCTTTCTCACGGCTATCTCCCCCTTTTTCCTGATTTGAACCTCTATCCCGATCCCAAGTTGTTCGATAGCAACTAAGGCTATTCCTTATCGTGATTCTTGTTTACTATTGTAAAAGAAATAATTAATTCCTGCAAATCCAGGACGCTGTGATGCCGCTTTAACGGAGTCCTACAATAACATCAAATAAATTGTACCATGAGCCATGAGGTTGAACAGGTTCTGCATTAACGCTGAATAATTTGTGGAATAACTTTAAACAGATCAAACAATAGCATTGAACAATTTTTCAAATTTTGCAATGAGGTTCAACAACTCGTACAATAACTTTAAACAAATTGATAAGCTTGAATTTATAAGCTTGAAATCTTCAAAATACATTTTGTTGAATAAATTATCCACTTAGTGCGTAAGCGTCATAGACAATTCAGTTTTGTTCGATTAGTGTCTAGGTAATTCATTAACTTTTTTTTAGTTCGATGCTGGCCCTCGGCTCAAGTGGTAGATATAAATATTCAGCAGGTATTTTCATTAGTAATAGTGGTCTAAAATGAATATTTACACGCGAATTAAGTATTGCTGCGTGTACGTCTTCAAAATAATTCATTTTACTTGTTTAGCTCATAATTAATACTATTCTATGCACCATTGTTGTGCTTGTGGGTTGTGCAGAAACAATTTTAAAAGAATTTACGGATGGTCGCCTATTCAAAATCCCCAACACAGCTGGGACGGAGCGGTCGGAGCCTGTCGCGACTCGCGATGCGGTCACGTTCTTAATAATGGGAATGGGTACGAATGACCAGAGAATCCATTATATTTCAATATGTGAGGAATTAAAATTCTTCAGATGACGTTAATAGATTGAAAGGCACGGTCCTGCAAGGCTCAGTGAAGGCTGCACCCCAATCGATAAGCAGCTCAGCCCACAGTGCCACAGTGGCCCCACACTCACAGCCCCACATGCCCATGGGCCATGGCCTCAAGTTCCTTAGCCGCATCTTTGATATCTCTGTCTCCACGGCCTCTATTGATATCTATATTGTATAAAATGTATATGGCAAGTGTGAGAGCAAGTAAATATGACGTTCTAAGAGAAAGAGAAGTAGGTTATGCATGAGATTGCCTCTCGCATTGCCGCAACTGATTTGGATTTTGGATTTGGATTTGGGGCATGGTGACTCTGAGAGAAAGAATTTCAGGGTCAGGCCTTTGCAACGGCCATCAGCCACGCATCACATTTTCATTTGTTAGTAAGAAGGAGGAAGGGAGACCAAGCCAGGTGGAAGCAACATTAAAGAGAAGAGGCTAGAAGAGGTGTAAAAGTTTGTGTTAAGGTTGAGAAGTAACAAGGGGAAGAGAAGTTCAAGGGGAAATTCATTGGTTTATTATTGCTATTTGTCAATTATTGCACTGTGTATTTGATAATTATATTAGCTATG